ATACTCCCAATCAGAATAATAATCATCAAAAAAATCATAATCAGTATCACAAGGAATTCTCAAGCTGAGACTCTCAAGGCTGTCTCTAGAAGAGTGAAGAGCCTGGGTGATCTGGGCTGCAGTGAAGTGGGTCCCTTTTCGAGACCTCCAAATTGCAGGTCGAGTATATGCAGAATACTGCAGATATGGGCAGTTCTCGAAAAGTTTGTGGATAGTATCATAGTTTAAATGGCTCTCCGTAAAATTGATGCGGCGGAGGTTCAGTCTACCAGGTAACTTGAGTGCCTTGTCTTGGTAGAGGCCATATAAACGGATTGACAATAACGCTGGACTAAGCATGGACGGCTGCAATTGGCATAGCTTATTTCCTTTTGAGAAGCTGCTAAAATCTCTGCCTGCAAACTCCTGAAGGCATGGGAATACGGCATTCTGAAGTGATTCCAAGGTATGTTTGTATGTTTGTCAACTGGAACGGAACGGCAAGATTGCAAATATTTGGGGCTTCAGCGAGAATTGGACCGAGTACGCAAGCACTTTTGGCGGCGTCAGGGAACTTGCGGGATTATATATAATAAAAACTACTGGTGATGAAGGGCGGTGAAGAGGAAACTGAAAGCCTGCCTTGCTATAAGGCAACTAGTTATTATGCTTCGAGTGGATGGATGCTCGCCCCCACATCCATGTGAGCATTACACATCGTCAGATCCACCATCAGGTGACGCCGCGATGCTAAGACAGGGAATCGGATTGGCGTAGACCATGTTTTGTTATGTGAGATGTGATTACCATCTTGCCAGGAATCGGATCGACCCAAGCCAGACCTCTCAGATCAAGCGCAGCAAGCGATAACCAGCCACATCCCTCATCGGTTCCTAGGAGCAGGCGAGGGATGTTTAATCCAGAATCTGGGTATTAAACTCGGGTTAATTTAGTTCCTAGGAGGGCGCAAATCCACCGAGGCCACCCAGGATTCTGCCCTTTCTTTCCGTCGTCTTGGACGCATAACATTTCTCCCTCGGGGCTAGAGACTCTGTTCTTCTATCTTTGCATCATTTCCAAATTGACATAGTGCACACCACAATAAATTCAAAATGAAGAGACCGGTTCCGATAGAATCTGGCCAGTGAACGGTTGATCGAGTGAGATAGTCGAGACAGGTCGGACCTGCTCCACTAGGACGACACCACTTTGGCTAGTAGATTTTAGGTCCTCAGTGCGAGTGAGGTAGCTGTTTCTGTGTATTTGCACACTGACACGCGCATCCGTCCTCTCGGGCCACGTAGACAGTCTCCTCGAGTCCTCTCGACTCGTCCGTCACTGCCATTACGTGCCACGCCCCACAGGGAGAAGTCTCCCTGCTTCGCGTTACCGGCCGAGATCTCTCTCTGCCGGCCGACCGTGTCTCGCAAAGGCAGTCAGGAGCATCCTCATTGACCTTGCAGGATACCCCGGCTGTCCTTCACTAACCAAGCTTGTGTCCCTGATTCTGCAGCCCTCCCGAACACCCGTGGCTATGCCTTAACGAGTTCGTCGAGGGTCGTCGCCAGACTGTGCAACCCGTTTGGAAGAGGCCACAGGATGTCCTGGTCAGAGTTGCCCGTGGCTTCGCCTTAACGAGGTTCCGGATCCAGGCCATTCCGTGGAGCTCCCAGACGACTTGCTCGGCCTGCCTGCACCACCAGTTGTATTCCCCCTCGCCGCTCCAACGCCATCGTATGAGAACAAGTCCAGCTTCGGTCTCGACTACGAGTCGAGTAGGCAGTCGTCGGATGGTTTTCATAACCCGTTTTCCTCTGATTTGTGTGGGGTGGATGAGTGTCGTCAACCACGGAAAACTCTGCGGCCCAATCCCTATTCACCCCACGCGGATTCTTTTGGCTTCCCCTCCACAGAATAGGAGGGTACTGACACCGGACACCGCGAGAAGGTAGAAATCCATCGTCCTAACTGCTTGACGAGGCAGTTGCCTGACGTGCTCGCCAGGGGCGACTTCGCCCCACAATCCTATTAACTTTGCGACTACATTTTGATGGCCCTCAGTTTTCACTATGCTCCTGCTATTTCTAGAGACAAATGATCTTCCAGTTTCGTGCTGTTCTCAAGAATAGCCCACTCAAGCACGATGACGCGAAACTGGAAGGCACAGAATCCATCTATCACGGGGAGGTGCCGAAAAACGAGTACATGTAAACGTCAGCTCGGTGTCGGCATTAGAAACAAGCCAGTCTTGTCTCATCGTGGTACCAAAGTAGATCGTGATTCCTGGTCTCATTATTGTTCTTGTAGCCATGAAGGTAAAATCACTTGTCATTGCCTTAGATTGAAAGCAGACATTAACTCCACGTCGAACATATCTTCACATAGAGAATACTTCTTCTTCTTCTTCTTCTTCTTCTTGAGGCATAGAACGTCCCAAGGTTGCTGGCAGGCTGGCAGCCCAAACCTCAATACTCTCAAACTGCTAGCAAAGCTGAGTACGTCCAAAATAGACAATCAAATAAGGGCCGTAATCTCTCACATGTTTAATGTCCCGTATTTCCAATCCATGATATGGCTTCTGAAACAAAATAAAATAGGATTGGTAATTACGATGACCGCCGCGAGGCTGATACCAACCTGACCCTAATGCCATCTGGCGATTCAGGACGCTTGGCTGATACCAACCTGACCCTAATGCCATCTGGCGATTCAGGACGCTTGGCTGATACCAACCTGACCGGGATGCCGACCGAGGAATCTGGCGATTCAGGACGCTTGGCTGCTACCATCTTAATTCTGGGTGTGGCCCGTGAACTTTTGCGATCGGCGTCTCGATGGGACTCAAGAGAACTAAGTGTGTCCTTATGATTTTCTCCAAGCACTTCTTTATACCCCGACCACTCTTGTCGGTATACTGATGCTGCGTCGCTGTACTTTTTTTGGGACATAAGAACATCGCCTAGTGTATGGAGAGCTTCCAGTGTCTCGTTGT